CGTGTTTTCACACCATATAATAATCAGTGAACATCCTCAATTTTACTATATATTTTTTCCAATGTGATTGATTCGACAGATTCACTGTTATGCGGAATCAACCAAAGCCATTTGAGGTTGTGTAGACTCTTAATACATTTTAATGTATATTAGGCGTTTAGCGCTTTTCCCATTTGGTTTGCTGGATCTGAGGAGGTTAAACATAAACCGTACCCTTTCTGTCCACATAGGGCCACATCTGCAAAATGACAACTTTTCAGGAGAAAGGTTTATAGATTCCACGAACGAAATTAGTCCACAACCTTTTTATGCTTAAATAGGAAAGATAAAACTGCACATTTATACGCAATTAGTTTCATGTAGTTCGTATTATTTTTACGACTTTCGTGGGATAAAAAAATTGTTGTAGGATTACATTTGGCTTTATTATACTAAGGGTACAAAATATTTTTGTAACGTTTTAAGAAAAGTGTACTTAATACTCATTTACAGTTGAATTTGTAATTAGAGATAAGAAAAACCGACTGCTAGAAATAATGTTTATCATATTGATTATATAATGGTGCGTGTAGTCCAGTTCTCAATAAAGTTTCAGTAAGTAAATAAAATTAATAAAAATAAATTTATGACTCTTTGAAATTTATGAAAAGAGCTTTGAATTTGCTAAACAACATTTGATTTATATTTAGTCTCTACATACCACTGCCTTTATACAATAATGCAGTATTTCAGCATACTGCGATTTTGAACTAAGCATACAGGGACGAGCAGAGCTAGCGAAACTTTATACAGTGAATAAAGCATACGTATAGTATTAAATTAAAAATGTTATATGAGATGAGTGTTTTATTCACTATGGTATCGTTTACGCTGCTCATCGCTATATGCTTAGTTCAAAATCGCAGTATTCCTCAACACTGCGTTATTGTATAAAGGCAGCGACACTTCTATCATATTTTTGTTGTTAAATTCACGTTTTTTTTAAGTTTAATACGTAAAAATTATTAAATGATATAATTTGCCTTGATGACCTACGGAGCACGTCCATGTAGCCCATAAAGATGACACTATTTTTTATTTAATCCAAAGCTAGAAACCGGCTTTAAATAAAAGGATGAGATACTCAGTTCAATTATTTTTCGTGATTTCGATGATTCTTTTGAAAGGTTGTAGGTACTTCAGTGGTCCCATTCAAATTTGAAGAAAATATTGTACCTCTAAGAGAGGAAATTAGGGCATGAATCCGGTTTATTAGATTTCACCCGCTATTTGTTAACCGATTTCTATAAAACTTGGCAAATATTCCACAAACTTTTGAGGTCGGTTTTATATTTATAATTTGTTATAATTATATTACCTCTAATTAAAAATGCAACTATAGTGTTGGAATGAATCTGCGGAACGAAACAAATAGAAAACAAAACATAATGAGTTATGTTCGGAGTCACAGAATCAACATTACCTATTCCTTCATGGTACTTATTACGTTAGTTATATAATATTGCTTAATTGTTTCAGAGTTATTTACATAGAGCACCAAAATCACTGTAAAATAGAACCATTCCAATCAAATCTATGAATTTAGAGATTTTAAACCAGAGATCGTCTATTTCTCCTTAAATTTAGGATGCCGATAGGCAAAAACGTATCAACCAACATGATCATTGTTTTGAGAAAATGGCCCCTAAAGGTTTTATCGTGTTTTGGTTAATAGATATATGTCAACTGTTTTTCTTATTTTTTTAATATTTGGAGGTTTCATATCACTTAGTTTGTGTTTGTAAAATGAAGACGAGACGACGAGCTACAAATTGGCAATAAAATCTTAAATCTCGACTTTTTGTGAGTTAGCACATTGCTTATCAGCATCCGAGTTCTTAGATTTGTAGATTGGTAAATAAACTTTTCTTTGTAGATCTAAAACAAGGTATATCTGTTTGTTTTTCTTCACAAATCCCATGGTCACGGCTGATTTAAAAAAGGAAGAAATATTTATGCGATTATAATTCATGAAAAAAAATTTATTTCCAATCTCCTTGTATTGTTCTATATTTGAACTTTAAAAATATAATAATGGACTCAAATGTACGTTGACTGCATTAGACCTCAGTTTAACTTTACGAATTTCATTTCAAGTATCGAATTTTACGCAAATTTTAGTTTCCAATCCTCTACGATAGTTCTATCTACCAGTCCTTAATACAACCATCCAATGAGCATTAAATCTCGATCTAGAACTTCACGTTTACGTCATAAACCCCGTAATTACCAAATCTATAGTTAATAAGAAGCACAATATCGTTATGAATTTATTACAAAATTTTTTTCAAAGCATTACCTTATACACAATGAAGTACATCTCTACAAATTTATATATATATATATATATATACACACACACACAAAACTGGTATATATATATACATATATATACCAGTTTTATAAATGAATCTCGTATTGAAAAAATGATTATATCATTAGGAGCATAACAAAATATTATACGACCAAAAGCCGCTTAATGTTTTATGATGTCAACAAATTCTTTCGAAAGATATAACATATATTATCCATATGTAATATTAATTCAGTTTGCTCTTTTGGGGTGCACGAAAGGAGCCTCCCCGCACGACGTACCTACCACTCTTTTCGTGTGTACGTCTGACGTATCCTAGGCAACTTCTTTCACCACGATTGAAGTATTTTGTGTATGCCATCGATACGCTAAGTTTGCGCTTTTAGATTGTTTTTTTTTAAGAACATTGATTGCTTCAATAATATCGCCAACCATCTTTATTAAATGTACTCCCATTATGCATAAGGACCCTTGAAGTTTATCAAACTATGCCTCTAAAATTTTTATACGAAATAAATGTTAGCTGTCTAATTAGTTTACTGATTCCAATTACTAATTATTTCATATACAAAATAAATATAAAAAGTCACGTCCCAAGATTGGCAGAACGATTCGTGTATACACGTTATATAAAAATGAGGCCGTATTATATATTTATTATATTGGTGTTTATTTAAATGAGCATTTATAAAATTTTATGAACAAAATTTTCCATCTACGGGGGTTTTGTGCAAATTGGCTATTCACCTGTAAAATTGCGATTTGGCACAATTTATATAAATAGCTATTTATTAATTACTAATATACTTATATTATATAATATTTTCTACATATTTAAATTAAACATTGATAAATATATCTTAAATTATTATCATGTATGACAATGTTTTTAAATTTATTCAACAGTATATAACATTTATATAAAAAGCTGTGCGACGTAATATACATATAAATGACTCAGCTTATATTATAAATAATAAATAAAGGTTAAGAGATTATTCAAATAAAAGAAATTAAACCTTTTCAGCATGTTTTACTCTTTTATATCACAATATAATAGATTACAATTCTGAAATCATAGCCAGATTTTGGTACCAATTCTGCTAAAGTAAACATACGAACGTTGCTACCGTTATTTTGTACAGGCGTTGAGAATTAATAATTTCACTTTTGTCTGTATTATTTTTACAGAATTGGCACCTTCAATGAAACTTTATACAACAAAAAGATCAGAGTATAAACTTAAAACTTCACCATTTTACAAATATGAAAAGTTTATTGCATACATCGACAGGCTTTGAGCAAATGGTTGCAATAATTGAATTCAAAACGTCAAAAATTTATTTTAAATAACTTTTTTTGTCATTTTCCAGACATGAATTTAATTATTGTACGACAAAAAACTTTTAACTAGATCCTTTTATAACTACTTGCAAAATTAACATCGGAAGCTCTTTTTCATTATTTTTTTGCGAAACAACTGCTCTAACTTGGCATTGGCATATCACCAATATCATTATGCCATCATTCTTTATTGCATAATTCTTTATTGTTACTTTCAATAGTAACACTCGGATACTTACAGGTTCCAGAGGTTACAGATTCTAGTTGGAGTAAGTAATCGTATAAATTCCACAATGACGTCAATTTTATTGCGCATTTCGATAAGCTGAAAATATTAAAGGCATGCGTTGTCCTTTTTCAACATAGATTGATAGAAAAAAACAGCAAGTGTAATAAATACAAAAGTTATTTCTTTAGATAAATGAACAGTTGGCATCGCATTATCATTTCAATTCAGAGCATAATAATATTGTTTTAACATCAGTTTGATATGTATTATGTACTATATGTTAGGCAAATTCGCATTTTATATATCGTCATAAGATGTGCAATAATAACAACCCCGCTTTCTTAACTCGCTTATGTATATAATATTTACACTTCTCATACAATACAGTGACAAATTGGTAACATATATTATGTATTTACTTTTTAAAGATTAAAACCGAGATTACATTTTAGGCCTAATAACAATACGACGTCCAAAATGCATAAATTATTACAAAGCTTCAAGCTATCATAGACACGTAAGAGACGGCACAGGGTCAGGTATGAATGTAACCAATTAGAGATCGCCATTTTGCAACAGTTATAGAACGTTTTCAAAAATCTATGAAACAAATATGGCGGCGTTGTCATTAATGTTGGCGTTAGATTTATTCTTCGATTTATGACTTTATGAGAAACATAATCAAAGATCTTTTATATACAACTAACTTGACTGTTAAGTGGTATAAAATATAATTTTTTCCACTCATGTATGCCATATACACTTTGCCCTAAACCTGAGCACGTACACAATGCAATAAAACTTATCTCAACTCGATGCCGATTATACCGAGTAATAATTATCAGTTACATATCTCAATAGTGTAAGAATTTACGCGTTCTATTAACCAACTAACATCAAAATAGCTGCTCAAACAATTTTCAAATAATTAGAGAACACTTCACACTTCAATACTACAAAAAAAAAAAAACAAAAATATAAAATTACTATAAGTATTAACAGCCACTAAAATTTTACTATTCAATAGTAAAATGTATATTTTCTAGTTCTTATAATACAGTTTATAAATTAGGTTCATAAAAGCGGTATCGAAATTGGAATACAATACAATTAATATGCTATGTAACATAAGATGTTCTGGAGTCATTTACTTGTCACACAATTAATTACTTTTTAACATTCTCCCACATTAAGCATCTTCTCTTATATTTCCTACAATTAAAGAATCAATCTTTCAAACATCTATCAAATAAAAATGTACATTATTCTCGAATTTTCTTTAATTATCAGTTTTACTTCAGAAAGAAGCAGAACAAAATACGTTCTATACTTATGCTTTTTTAACGTTTGTTGTGTTTTGACAACACCGTATCAATCAACTTAACTTTAATACAAGTAAATGACCACAAAATTTACGACCAGTAATTCATAAAATTGGTAATTTTCACTGGTCCATTAACATACAACATTAAACACCAATATCTATCATAATTTTATCAATAATAGTTTATGTTTTAATAACTTCGATCATTTTCATTTCAACTTACGAGATTTCGAGATCGAAAATTGTAACATCCTTGGAAGTTCCTTCATTTTCCTTTGCGGAAGACAATTTGACAACAGACATTTCAATTTCATTTCTATTCAAACTTAAATCATCAATATTTGGTATCATTATAAATTTCCAATTACTTCTAACAAAGTCATTTATGAACAATTAAAATTCTTTATATTTCATAACGTCTGAGCAACGTTACACTAAAGAATCTTTTCTCACAATTCTTCCGTAGAAGCTATAGGCGCCTTCAACAGGGGTGTCCTTGGACTTCTAGATCCTGAATCTTTTGTTGGTGCTTGAAAGTCTTCATTAGACAACGACCCAGGTATTGGAGCAATTTTGAGTTGATGCCCATTCAACTTGATTTCAGTTATGGAATGTGATCTTCCGTGATTGATATTTGGTTTTTCTCTATTCGTCGTCGTCGTTGGATCGTGTGTGGGAGTTTTGGCCAGAGACTGGGTTACTCGGGCACGATTGGATTGTTCACGAAGAGCCATTTGGTAGGCCACCTCGAATGCTTCACCTAGTGTTAGGATGACTTCTGTTGCTTGGTCCTGAAATGAAAAATATATCGTCAGGAGAATGCTCGAAATAGTTTTAGAGTACTCATATAGGTTCTAAGTTCCCTGTTGAAAAGATAACTAAATTTTATCACGATGATGAATTTTGGAATACGATTTGAAATAAAATACGCATATATATGTATATAACAAGACAAATACCAAACCAAACTAGTTATCAAAAATGATAGAAAGGTTAACAACGACATTGGACCAAACTACAAAACCAAATAAGTAAATCTTTATAGGTGGTCCAGTATCTTAATTGGAAAACATCTTTGTTACGTTACACGAAAATGAGATTCCAAAAGCTTTCTACTTACCATAGTAGCAACTCTGAAGACATGGCAGTAGTGGCTCTTGGTAGCGTGATCCTTCGTAATGTAGGCGAAGTGTGTTAGATCGTCAGCATCTTGACACGCGCAGTGAATATTCCGGATTTCATGCTCGCAGATCAGCTCCTAATTAGGGGAAAAATATTCTTCAGTGAGATTTAAATTGTGAAAACATTTACCGAAGATTTTAAAGTGGTAGGAAACTTTAGTTCAAACTTAGAAAGTCATTGGACCAATCACTTACAGAAAAAATATGCTTTTCTAAAAATTACAAACATAATGAGAAAAGAAGGGACATAAATAAAGTATTATTTTTTGTGAAAACGCTATCGTAAAAGATAACCTTTGAAAAAAGGAAACGAAAACACAGTCGCTTGTATTACAAATTCAATCTAAAAATTTACGATTACGCAAGCACAAGGAGAAAAAATACTAATTATCCCACCTAACTAACCGTAAAGATTTCTAACATAAAATTTATCAAACAAAAAAGATGTAAAAACAATCCTTTTTTGAAAGAAAAGGGCAAGATTGGTAAGTGATCCGATCAAGTGTGAAAAATGAGGCAATTTTTTTTTAATTAAAAGTTAAGCGGGCGAAGTCAGGTCTTTTGTTTTGCCTGTTTAGAAGGGATGTTTACCCCTTGTTCGGTTGAAAGACTTTCAAAAGAGTCAGCAGACTTTTGAATATAATAAGCAAAGGGTACTCGAAATCTTCACAGTTGACCTACGAGCTTAATGCTCATGTTATAGTTTCCAGTGAACAAATAAAGTTACGGAGGTGAATCGGTGAAGAAACGATAAACTTTTGAATTGTGATCTTACGATATTATTTGTCGCATTCCTATATGTATATCATAAATTAGAACTCCCAACAAAATCATCGTTGAATGAAAATGGCAATACATTATTTGTTATTTCTTTATTACGATAGCAGATATATTCAGGACTACCTCTTTGGATGATTGATAACGTGTTCGTGGTACGTTTTTTTAGACAGGTTAAGTTTTTGGTTTAGACATTAATACTATACTAAATATTAATTCTAACTCTTTAGGGAATCAGGAAAAGAAAGGGTGTTTCCTAGAAAAGTGTGATGAGAGACATGAAGATGATAAGAAATCGATGGTTTCACACTACATATATTTTATTCTAGGCTTAAAAGTTCTAATTTCAATAGACTGCAAGAAACGACATAGTTCAAACTATACTAGATGCATACTACAAACACTTACCTTTGTAATGGTATTTAGGAACTTGACACCTCTATAACTAATGGAGAGTATGATGTCGGGGGAATCCCGTGGTTCTTTGGTAGATTTCTTCAACTTCTGAATTGATTTCTTAGTTGACTCTGTCCCTCGTAGCTCTTTTACTACAGTTGATCCTAAATACTGTTACAAAAAGAAAATAAAATGTAAAAGAAAGGTTTATAGAGCAATTCATCATATATGTATACTTAGTCTTTTTGTACCGTATGTACATTTGTACAATGAGTAAATAATATGTAATTTCAAAGTAACAGATGTCTATACCTTTACGATAAAATATATACTTACATTCGCTACATAGGTAACTGCACCCGTAACCAAAACAAAGGGTTGGTGCTTCCACTGGGTCTTTAATGCCCCTGGTACTCCGACCAGTAGCTCCGAAGGTGCCCTGATCTCTAGATCCGAAGGTCTCGGTGGTTGAGGAGCAGGTCTGTTTTTCTTACTCCGTTTCAGTGTTTCACCGCCAGGAGGTGCGAGGGTAGGAACCACTGGTGGCGGAACTGGTTTGAGATTTTCCGACAGCGGTAACTTTTCTTTGATTTCGTCTTTTAATTGTTGGATATTGCTTTTCTGTAAAATAATTTTTTTTTTCAGAAATCGAATTTTAAGAAGGGATATGGAAATTGGAGAAGATAAGGACTGGCAAGATACTTTTCTTCACAGAACGAATTTCTTCTAATTTCATATGTAACATGTAGGTGTTTAATTCAAACAAACAGCAATTATACAGCGTATTCGCTATTCATGTTTATAAGTATCACTATCGGATAATCCAATGCATGTTCAAAAATGAAAATATTATCTTTACACCTGCTTCTCGCCTAAACAAACAGCAAAAGGGAAACAGCGTTAATTAAATCGAAATGAAAAAAAACGGCACTCAAAAGACTCATTCACACCTCAGAGGTGCAAAATAAAAGTCGACATACAATATGACAACAAGGGAAAAAGACGCGCGTAAAATTTTAATTAGCGCTCCAAAGTTGACATTGCGTAAAAAAGACTTGTAAAAAAAGGGTAACGTCATTGACAGTGCGAATCATGAATCATCTAATTTGACGAGTGTCGTTTGATAGGGTAAAATCTTTAATGAATACGAAATGTTTAAAGGGTCCAGTCTAAATACAATAAAATATACAACTGTGCTGCGTAATGAACTAATCTAGTATATGTAACTAAAATACATTACAAAACAAGTTTGACTACTAACATAAGAGATAAGAAACCAGCACTTCACGATAAACAAACATAGATATACAAAAATAGAAAGAATGCTGCCTGAGGGCACAAATAACTGCAATTACTGTCAGGAGTAACAGAAGTGAAATTTCGTTTATTTCTTACTTCTATCACTGTCTTCGTATCGTATAAGGTGTGTAGGTATACGTCGGGAAATTTGATAAAAATATATATTAAAATTTGTTAAATGTTTTTAAAAGTTTCGAATTCAAAGTGGACACGTCATTATCACATCACGTCACATCATTATCATGTTTAATTACTAGAAAGGAACCCTAAAACACACAAGGTGCATGCAGATGAGCGAATAGATTGATGTTCCGTTGGAATGAACACCAATGGCATATGAGCGACAATTCAGCGGCTTTACGTTTTCATTTTCTACCATCAGTTTTCGCATATAGAATCAGATATTGAGTAAAACGGATACTAATAATAATTACGTATATGTAATATAAATACTATTTCACAGTTTTTATTTGAAAATTAGGTGTAATGGAAACATTCACAAAAGTGTCATAATTTCATAATTATACAAAACTTAGCCATAGCAGCGTGTTAGTTACAGCCCTCGTTGCAACACCTACAGTATTACGAAAGCCAATTAGTAGCAGCGTTTGATTTGGTAACATTTATATACGAAGTAGAATCTAGTGTATAACTATATTTTACCGCTAAATACATATTAAGTCTAAAAGATAGTAATATTCCAACTGTTCGAGGCAGTGATTATGTAATAATAATTAACATAATAAGTTTTCTGCATGCAGGTGTTCCACAGGGGTTGTCATTGAGACCAGTCTTAATTACAATGTTTTTTACTCATCTCATACAGTGATATAAACTAAGACGTGTGGTACTTCAATACCGTAGTTAGGGTAATGCATTTTAGGATTTTGAGGCAGCGAGTAGCGCACTCAGTATGAATAGAGTTCTCTGAATAGAATGAATAGACGTCGAATTGAGCACTAATTACCTATACGGGATTGCCGACGTGTGAAATTACAAAAAGTGGTCTCGTCGTCCTTTGCGTTGATTTACTGAGTACTGGTTGAATATATTTGCGTGACATTTCTATGGAATGGCTTAAATAGGACATGTAGGCTCATTAGGTCTCTCACAAGGTATACATATTATGTGCCTGATATCAATGCTTTTAAAAACTTGTTCTAATAAAATATTAATTAAACATCCTAGACACTACGCCTCAGGGGACGGTCTTTGATTTACTATTTTTCTCTTTTCATCTTTGTTAAACATTCTAGACTATTGCTTACACCTAAAATAAACAATAATAATAGTAAGTAGGTATTAAAAATATTTTCAATAATTATTTATAATACATTTTTAACAATAGGCAGGACTACCCAGACAAAAGTTTCACGGCCACTTAAGTCAGCGTTCCCAAACGATAATACATTTACGTATTGCTTTAGTTACTTTAGTAAACTGAAAGTATATCAGTCTGACCGCCTTGCTAATACAATTGCACTTACAAAGCAATTACCGATCTTATCCGCCATATCAAGTACCGTTACAAATGTTAATTCGGAAACCCCAGTTTATAGCGCCCCTACATCACCTTTACAGACCCCCAAGTATAGCATTAAACTGTTCTTTTTGCACCTGACGAGGGCGTTACCTAGCTACTCCCGAACATGTTGATTAAACCAAGATGAGCAATTTGCTAGGATTAAAACTTTAATCTGGTAGTTTAGATCGTTTTATAATTAGTAAATGATTGGTAATTAAAGTTTGGAAGGGTGCGAAGAGATGTGATATGGATCGAAGAGTGTGTAAAAGAAACGGGATTCTCGACGGGAGATAATTTGAAGGTCTCAAACAAACAAATGTCTATTTAACCGACTTTAAAACAGGAGGAGGTTCTCAAAACATTTGTGAACCGATTTCGATTATTCTTTTTTTGTTGTAAAGGGTCCTCAGCAGTGGTTCCATTTAAATTTGAAGAAAATTTTTCACTTCTAAGGGTTGCAAATTAGGGGATGATCCGGGTTATTGGATTTCACCTGCTTCCCATTAAGCAATTTCAATAAAACTTGGCAAATACATGTTATTCTAAAAATAAAATGTTATGCTGACCTATAAGTGATCTGATGATGGAAAAGGCAGACACATAAAAGGAATTCCCCAACATTGTACAGCAGCTACCATATGCATTTCAGTTACAGATCGTAAGACTGCGGTAACAACCACAAAACTGCGCAAGCAGATAAACAAATTTTTGAGGTTAGTTTTTTTATAAAAAAATTAAGTAAATAAAATATTATGTTGTTCACAAAATGGCCACCATACAAATATACGACGCCTGTATCATGAAACTATTAGAAACTGGTGAATTGTGATCAAATTAATGACCGAGAAAGCAATGGAAGGCAATCGGCTGTCAGATAAATTTTCAAACTAGTCGATTCAAGAAGGCGGTTAAAAAAAAGTACACCAATTGTGTTAAAATTTCCAAAAATTTAATTATTTTACAATAGACTTATGCGAGAACCCAAGTTTGCAGCGATATCAAATTTCTCGTCTATTGTGACAGAAGCAGTAGAGTTACCACGTTACCTATTTCTGTCGGCAAGCAATAATATGAGCATTACTACGTCCGGTTTTGAAAGTTAAAGGTGCTGGTGAAATTATAGGCACATGGGACTTATCAACTTATGTGTCAGGGTGACAGTGGTCACTTGGTCTCAGAAAATAAAATACAACCTATGAAAAATACTGGTGAAGTACAGATGAACACCAAAGTCTTAAGAAGAGGGTCTTTTATTAAGATTATAGAAGTTCGCTCTAAATATTCCCTTTTTAGTGGGAACATGACATAAATGCATTATAATTCTCTAATTTCTAAGTACTTCTAAGTTATACATTAAGAGATTTCACACAGGTTGACTTTTGGGCTTTATTACTTGTGTCGTGACTGCTTGAATCTTATTTTTTAGTAGAACAGAAACCAACAGCATTTGCAAAATAACACGAGTTTAGACAACAACAAACGAGGAAAAACACAAAGGTGAACAAGCATTTTTGACAGGCGACTTAGTTTCTTACACAATTTGGCATATACTTTCGCATTAAAATGCCTAATGGCTTTATACAGCCTACTTTAAAATCGACCAATTATATACTAAGATAAGTACTAGCTATTTAATACGTGCAATTCATAGGTTCTTAGTAAAAATAAAAAATACACACTACAAAACATTCTTATAGAATAACAACAAATGGCCAAAAAGCATACTTAAATAGCAATACGTAACAAACAATCATTTATATCATAACGCAATTTACATAAAGTTATGTTCACATCGTAAATTCAAATAGGGAAGAGCATCCTCTTTAATATTAATTCAATAGGAGTAGGTACACTGCACCACGCATAGTTGCTTTTAAAAAGAAAACCTTCAAAGAAGGTTGCTTTTCATAATGGTATTGACTTCAATGGCGTGCTGTACAATAAAAGTTGAGTTTATACACCGAAGCAGGTGCATATAAAGTAACATTTACGTTTACTTGAATTCGTAATGCGTAAATAGTAATTTTGGTTTTATGAGGGGTTGTTCACAATTTATTTGATTTCTTGTGTTGCGTTAAGCATCTTTGAGTACAGTTGTATAAAAAATAAATAAAACTCACACCGATTATTCGGTACCTTTTCGACATTTCGTCGTGAAAAAAATCTGATAAAATTTGTTTATCGAATTGGGGTACTCGACGTTATATGAAGCTAGAGGTTTCACTCAAATTATTTGAATTTTGATGTAAGATCTCATCATTAACTACTACTGTTAAACTTAAGGTATTGCATTGTATTTTAACTGTAATTTTATGCACAATAAAGAATATTTCATTAATTCATTCGATCATTCCTTCATTCAAGATAAACACCGACTCTCTAGTAGTAGTCTTGGATATAAGTCAATTAAAAATCCTTTTTCGTACAGAGCAGCATATTAAGCTACACATAGACGGATATTGTTCCCTTACACAGAAGGCTATATTTGAACAAAAGAGTAATTTGTTGTTGATTGTATAAAAATTAAGGGTATTACTTATTTCTATTAAATATCATGATATTTTTACTATCACTCCACTAGTTTGTTATAATTATTGGTAGCCACGTTGAGACAACAATCGCTGCTTCATATCTAGATCCGACTAATCGGATCGCAGGAATAATTTATTTGTGTGTGTTTGATCTTTTTATGAAGAATAATTAACGGTAAACTTACAGATGTCGCTATAAGCCACAGTGCTGTTTGCTATTTGATTTCCTAAATCATCTTAAAGGATAACATTTTTTTTTATGAGTCCTAGTGACGGGACGAACAAGTCGTGCGCCTTTAAAGCGGAAAGCGACACGCCTGTCCATAACAGTTGCAGTGCCACTTAGAGTTTTAAATCGCAAAGATCTAAGTGGCACTCCCAATGCGCCCGTCACTCTGAGACGCAATTGACAAATCCCTGTGCCTGTAATTTCACCAGCACCCTTACCCTTCAAAACCGGGAAGCAGTAATGCTCACATTACTGATATAAGGTTGCGGTACTTCCCTGGACGAGCTTTCACAAAGAGCTCTACTGCTGCTAAAAAATATTTCTTTTATAAGTTCCCCTATTTACAACACCCCAAAAATGAAAGATTATGGCACCATCCATATAGTATCATGGCAACTCCCTTCACAATAAGTTAGTCACTTGATGACCATTATACGACTTGTAGCGTTTTATGTAAGGATATCCTTTTTAAATGCTTTTTGATTGAATGAGTTGCAGGGTTTATTGCACTCGTTTTGTTATTCGTGCACTGTTGTGTTGTTGTGTGCACTTCGTGTGCTGGTGAAATTACAGGCACATAGGACTAGTCAACTTACGTCTCAAAGTGACGAGCGCAGTGTCAATGCCCCTCAGATCTTTGCAATTTAAAGCTCTGAGTGGCACTGTAACTGTTACGGACAGGCGTGCAGCACCATCAAGCGCACGACTTGTTCGTACCGTCACTTGATGTTATAAAAAAATTAGTACAATTTCAATGGGACTGTTAAAACACATATTTGAAGGTATTTTTAAAAATGTTTCAAAGCAGTTAACAATCGCTTTCTTAGCCTATTTCATTCAAATATTACTTATGTTAAAAATTTTCATTTTCTCGTTGTTTAGTAATAAGGTAAATATTCGGTTATGATTACGCATTTGACATTTTGTATATCGCACCTTAGAGGGAAAACCTCGCATTCGCGTTTTCACATTGTTCATTTTTACTGATTTTTATGAAGACAAACTTATAAAACTTCTTGCTCGTATATATTATTAAAGTAATATGGTATCTGAAAGAGATAATAATTATTAGATATCGTCACTGTACGATCAGCAATATTGAACATTTTCCAGTTCCAAAAGAGTTTGGTTTGCAGCTAGCCCCATCTTATCTCGTCTTTTATTGTGTTTATAATAAAAATAAGATAAAATCTAAAACTACAATAAACAAATTTAAAGTATATTTTAAACTTGGGAAATAATGATTTTAATGTATGCTCCAGAATCTTATTGTGAAAATATATACAGTTCTCCATTTGAGAATCGTTTACCTTAGTTAAACGAAATCATGGTACCATGAGTTTAGACTTAGTTCGAAGGTTAACATTATGGATACTTTCTTTCGTAATGAAATTATGTATATTTTTACAAACATACAAAATATTTGAGTAAATATACCCACTACGATACTATTAGGTAAAATATATTTAGTAAAAAAAACTAGCAAAATATTTTAATATTGTGAATTAGGTTATTTAGGCTGACTAGGTCATTTGGTTTCATTATTTCAATACAAATACAAAAGAAAACAGCATATATAAAGATAAAAGTATTCGTTAAAAGTAGATCTACACAGTAACCACGTACAAAATATTTGAGTAAATGTACAGTCATGCCATTTTCACGATACCAGTTATCTTAAACTTTTATTTGAGAGAAACCTGAGAACCTAAACAGTATACAGAACACGGAACTATATACAAATGTTATGTACAAATTCGTTACATAAAATCACTTCCATTCCATTCCACTGCATGCAAATTAAGCCTTAAAGTGGTAACGCGTTGACTTTGCTGAGAGTATAAAAATATAAGTAGTATAGCATAAATTAAAAGATTACCTTAACTGTTTAGATATAGTGTATTTGAAATTACGTTACCGGATTATAGAGTTTCTCAATAATAATACATTTGCCTGTTTCCGTAAAAGCCGAACGCTTTCGGAGGTTGGATTTTAAAAAACATTACTGCATAATATAAGTACAGTTTCGTTTAACAAAGTGTCAAAGAAGAAAAAAGAAGTAAAGCCGTCGATCTGGATTTGTAAAAATGCAAATTTAAGCAATTGTTCACGTGTACTTATTATAGTGCGCATCAGTTACATGTTTAAAACCACTTTAAAACCATTTTAAGTAGCGGTCATGTAATCGTGGTTCAAAAATACAATTAAAAGAGTATTTCAAGTACCGAAACAAATATAAAGTAATAATTTGTGTAGATTGTAATATATATTTTGTTTATGCATTTATTTATGTATATTATGCTTGCATTCGTATTTCATATAAATTTTATTGTACAATAATTAGTCGGGCAAACTTTATTTCTTCACCACAGCTAGGATTAACTGGAAAATATTATTCTAGAGATATGCTCATCTTTATATATGTCCTTTGTCATATGTGTTTTTAACGTTTTGTGCAATAAAGTATTAAAAAAAATAATTCAATATTTGTAATACCTACCTCATAATTAAGACATAGTATACGTATCAACACAATTTCAAAACGGTATTAAAATTCAGCGTCTCTATTTTCATTAATTAAGTACAAGCTCAAGATAGGCCTATTACATAAATAACAGGAACACCTTCAACAACTTATATCACCAGAGAGAATATTTATAACGTTTAATATGCATAGAGTATACTAGATTGACGTATAATTCCTTTGAACGGTTCACAAGTGGAATTTATAACGAATCACTAAATATTCTGATGATATGATATAAGAAGATTCGCTGTATCAGTTCTTATATTAACTATGAAGTGAGAAGATAGCTTGGATTTCGTAAATTTTCAGGTGAAAAATGCTGAAACATTGTTTACTTCTTACAAAAGGCATAGATATGAATTTTCAGATCTTTTACTTCAGAAATTATTGGTTCTTCATACATTTTTGATCCCATCTATTTCTATACCAAAATTCATCAAATCAAATTTGGTTTAGCAGTTTAGGAGTGAAAACCTAGCAGACAGAGTTACTTACGTATTTATAATATTAATTTTGATACATGTAAAAGGTGATTTACTTACCAAATTACTGAGATCAGCATTTATATTCTGCATATTGTTGGCAGGTCCGTTATTTTCACCAGAAACCGAAGCCAAAATCCTTTTTCTATGTCCAGGCTTCTGTATCTCCAACACTGCTGTCAATTCCACTTCCCAAATACTTTTAACTCTATCCATATCTACATACAAGTGTTTCCTAAATGTATCACTATATTGCTCTAAGTTAATATTTCTTAACCATTCCTCTACAGATTCGTTTTGGCTTTTACTAATGTTATTATTGTTATGGTTATTACTTATTTCTGTTATTTTTAAAGGTAACTGTTTGGCTGATTCTAGAATTTTTTCTCTATCGTACTCCTCTATCCCCATTTGTCGTAGATTGTTATCGTCTAGGATCCCGTTCTGGAACAATACATGTTTAGTGTATAACTACTGTTTTGGCTTTACAACAAAAACTTTAGGAACATCTTGGCTTTTTCAAGCGTGTACATTGATGATACAAATGAGGTTGATGTACGATAGAAAACACAAAACAGGTATATGATGACGAAGCATTAAAAAATCTAAAGCTTATGAAGTAAAAAGTACTTACGATGAAATCGATATCATCAAATCCACTCTCCAAGAACAAAGGCTCATAATCATGAAGTCCAAGCCCCGCCAACCACAAGCCTAAATTTGAGGCCACGGATGGACTCAAACTGGACTCCGAACAGCTAAGACCTAATCTAGAAGTAAACTCTTGTTCCAACTCAGAGACGAATACCGACTCTCTGACGAGTTTGCTGCCGAATGAGGCCATTATTTCGGAGATCTTTGCCCATTCCTCCTGTTGACAAAAACGATTTTGTTAAGATATTGAAAATAGACATTAAACTACTGACTGTCTTAAACGAGGACGAAGAAAACTTAAATTAGGACGAAGTCCATTAAAGAAGCAGACTTTTAGAAACTAAATCTTTGTTTAGCCCAAATTAACAAAAAAAGGTGTTTGATCTGCAGATTGCATATATCTGACTAAATGATAAAAACGTTGTGAGATTAGTCTTATCATTGTTATATTAAAGGCAGTTGTAAAAAATGAAAACAGCAGACAGGCTGCCACATCACGTGTCACCAAAACAGGTAGAGCAGTATACAATTGTCAAACAGCTGTTTTGCAGCACCTGCCTACCTGCATAAAGCTGCGTCCGTTGTCATAAGAGGACGCATTATGCAGAATTTTAAGTACGAGGGTTCCACCCGCATGTCGCATGGTGACAGTTTTTTAGATAAGTAAGGCATACAATTGGGTAGTGATAATTTTTAACTAAATTGATGCACATGTATGCTTTTAAGGTAACAAAGGACGCACTAGCAACTTTCGAATTGAGTAATCTTTATTTTAAACAAACAACTAACTTACTAAGTACACATGTGTATTAGTAGATCTTTATATGCAAACCTAAACCGCATATAACTTGTCTTTCGTTTGTAAATGCGATATCTTTGATAGTACCCAACTATCAATATATTTGCAAGTCTGTTAATTGCGAGCCTTGGAACTTTTTACACATCAAAATTGCAAAACCACAGGTGTTTTAACAGACCAGTTCTAAAAGAACCGTGTCATACGCATCCTTTCAACAAATAGCACATACATAATGCTGCATTTGTGAGGTATCAAAATCCAATGTAAATTAGACAAAGGGTAATCGTAAGTGATAATGGCTAACTATTGCTTCCTGTCTTTGTTCTGTGACCCATTGTAGGGTACGTTAGTGTTTTGTAAACTGCTTGTAAGTAGAAATCACTTGAGCATATCTGCATTATGATAGCTTTATCGTAACAATAGTGAAGCAGAAGTAAATACTTTTTCTGTATGTGAGTTTTATATGATGAGTATCACAACAGCAGTGTGACGTTAGAACGTGAACCTTTATAAGTTGGTTTTTGCTAGGTTCGTCAGGACATATTGCGAGGCGTGGTGATGACAGATGGAGTAAGTCTGTTAATTATAAATTATTTCAGTCGTGTGTCTAGTGACAATGACAGTTAAGAGCACTGGCTTGTCAGTGGCTAACCATCGAGATACTATTCAACTGCGATTGCGATTTTTAGTAGTCTGCTGTTCAATGGCGTAGTGTACTAATTATTCAACATACAAAATACATAGGAAATAAAACTATTTTTCCGGATTTAAATCGCGTATATTTGTTTTTTCAAACAAACCGACGTTTCGGGCCCTTTACAGGTCCCATGGTCACGGTTAACAAATATACGCGATTTAAATCCGGAAAAATAGTTTCATTTCCTATGTGTAACAATCGCGAAAATCTAAGAACTCGATATAAAAAAAATACATTTAATGTAAAGACTAAATTGCTGTTTAAACGAGATAAAAATTAAGATACAAGAGCATAGTAGTTTCCATAATAGTTTTGGTAAGGCAACATCGATCGTTTATGATTAAATGATTGCCATCACTGCCATTTCACTGACACTCTATCGAGTCTCAGCTGCCACTACAGCTAGATTTTAGCAGAATAACAAATATTATCATAATTGCAATATAATCTCTGTGGAGTTTTAATGGAATTGGAATGATTAGTGGTTTTGAGAACATTAGCAGATTTGGGGTCCTAATTGGTGACCAAGAACTAAAGGAACGTAAGACGTTCTGTAGTCAGGTGGGTGGGTTCTGTAGACGGCCACTGTTACGCGGTTAAAGGTGAGTGATACCATCGCAAGAACGTGATAAATAGCACAAAAGGCCTATACCTATCCTCAGTGTGTAAAGTCGTGCTGGGAATGATAATAATGACGGTATGCGAGATCAAAACAGTTCAGTCTTTATCACTACTGTCTTCTAATAGGGACATAAAGAGAAATAAATCTTCCTAACGGATTGAAATTCGCGCAACCCCAAGCGACTTGACGTTTTGCAACTTGACCATTATGTAAATGTAAAACACAAGGATTACATATAATACGGCTTGTGCATTTGCTCATATCAGACACCAATTGCACAATCCTTGCACTATTAAACAAAGGAGTGGCACTTACTGTCAGTCGCGATCGAGTCGCATAAGGGTCATAGATAAACCCGTTACGCGACAAGTGAATAATACTGTGCTAATTTGATGTCATATTGTCTTATCAATATGGACGATAGTGAGGATTATGAAGTTTTTGATCTTTATGTATGTTATGGATCCTTTCATTTAACAATTGAATATGCAGAAATATGATATATCATATAGATATTGATTTATCGATTATAGACAACGCATACAAGTACCTATATATTTTCTTGCGCTCAATTCTTTATTGCAATAACCGCAAGCATTTCTTTCCTATTGTTATTTGATGCATTTATTGTGCTATACGCCAGATCAGGAACATCAATGGTTTATTAGCGTACAATTACCAGGAGTGAAGTTAATAAAATTTATCCTTTACTCTCATTTAACTCATTAAAGTTGCAAACGTAGCTACAATCAAAGCAGATAACATATAATTTTTATTTCATAGGTAACCAAATTACACTTTTAAATCATCATATCTATTAAAATCATTAGTAAATCAAATTCACCTGAGAAGAATGATTTTTTATACCATCACAAAAATTTAATAGCTGGAAGTTCACCATTATAAGCCTTTCTTAACTTAATAGAATTTTTTTATACACTATCTTATGAAATGACGAACTAAGCTTACGAAATCTGAACAAATTGCGATCTCGAGTTTAACTTTGTTGGTCTTTAATTCCCACAACCACTATTTCATCTAGATGCAGAGACAGACTGTGTTAAAATATAACTAGACTAATTAAAAGAAAAAACATCCTGCTCCGATACAAGGACAGCGAAAAGACGATAAATCTTTAGTTTTCGTATTTCTAATTCTGCAACGCCTCGAATTCCTTCAAGCAAAATTGTACACACATCAAAAGTGTGCAGGAATCAAGCACTGGGCACAGAAATTTTTGCCAATTACTGAAAATAGGGTTTTTCAATGTTTTTTTTAACACCGATAGATTTTTCGGTCAATTTTATAATTTGAATTTGAAAAAGAAGTTGACCAAAAAAAATCCATTGGTGTTAAAAAAATTCATTAAAAATCCAGATTTTCAGTAATTAGCAAGAACACACATCAAAACCTCAGTCTACTTCAATAATTGAATTAATTCTAAAATCAGGTATATGCACTTATTTCTTTCTTATCGGGGATCTGGTGAGACATCAAGCTATTATGGTTTCTGACACTAAGTGATAAGCTATCATGTATAAATTTGTTAATAATAATAATAAAGTGACACACTACCACACCAGTTACCTGGTCTCAAAGTAGGAAATCACTTGTATTATGAACACCTCAATTCACTCCGGAGTAGAATTTATACAGTGGGGTCTCCGGTAGCTTTTAGAATGTATATAGAAGAGCCTAGACCGGTTGTCAATCGTTTCATCATTCAATGCGAAATCGAGCAGATCGGTTTGGTGTAGGAATTGTAAGAATTGTCGATCCACGTACACTCATTTCATCCTGCCTTCGATTCGGCATCGATCAATTGTTGTTGTCACACGCTACTGACGCCCCAAAGATACTACTCAGAACACCGAAACTAGAACCTATTGGACCTCCCGGGACCTTATTTGCAAAACGTTGGGCTACGAGGTGTTAAAGGAGATCAGCGAGATTAAAGAAAATCACTCACCTGTTCATCAAAAGGACTAAGTATGGACAGCGACTTATCTCCCCCACTTTGTGTCGAACTGGTCGTATTACTTCTTCTTCTAATCTCTTCTTCGCCATTAACACTTCTGTCCTGTCCATTGCTGCTTAGAGTGTTAACAGGGGGTTGGTCAGTGGGGGACGCGTCGTATACTGATTTGAGCTTGCGAAGGGTTTTTGGTCTTTCCGCCGGCATCGGACGCAAACCGATGCCGTCGAGGGTCGTTGTTGAGCCCTTGAACAGGCCTATGGACAAAGAAAAATGGATGTTAGTGTACGCAGCACAAGAAAAGACAAATAAATTTCTAATAGTTTCACCAATATTGTCTAAATCGGCTACAAAATCACAGACGAAGGACAGGATTTGCACAAAAAATAATAGAAATTGTGAACGCTGGTCCCTTGTTTCAACTTTTATGCTTTTATTTCCAGATATTGGCATTTTTCAAAGTTATCGACGATACATTATGCCAACGACTGTCAATTCGTAAGTATTATAATATTTATGTAATATAACAATCAACAGAAATAGGTAAGGTGCCAATATTTCCCTGGACGAACTGTTTCACAACGAGCTCTACTGCTACTATATTAAAGTACACACGTAACAATAATCTACGGATATCTATTTAACATAAATAGACTAATCTAGATTGAGTGACTGTCGTAAATGAATGTCGAAAAATATGCAAATGTCGATTGCAAATTTTTTTGGGATTCTCACTATAATTAGACCAATTCGACGAGCATCACGCAGTTTTCGTCAAACCAGACAGATACAGCTATTTCTGTAAAAAATTAGATTATTTAGAAAAATTCGAGAAACTACTTTGATTATATAATACGTAAAATGCGTTTGCGAAATTTAAAACATCGGAATCGTCAATTAAAATTAAGTGTACGGTTTGATGGCGTATTGACACAAATGTCGCTTTTGAACAATCATTTATATTAACACTTGAAATGACACTATTATTCTTTTTTCTCAATCAAAACACATTTGTGAGCTCGTGATTTTATTAGAAAAAAAAATATTTATCGATTATGTTTTGAATACATTCGATAAAATCAAAACGTATTTGGAATACAGATTTCCAAATATTTAAATATAGTAAGTATCTATTGATGTCGTAATTACGATAATTTTATACAATAGAGATTTTTGTGACGTTTTCCTGATATACTCGTAACAATACGAAATCAAGCAAATGTCGCAGCATATCAGAATTAGGTCACAGGTAAATTCCAGCACAAAATTGGAGGAAATATAAATAAAAGTGTGAATACCAACCATTCAACAGCATTTACTCAAAACATTCAGTGACTATCTGTAAACGTTATCGGCCTTGAAGTATGGCCGATAAATATTTATCAAGAACTTTTAAGTAATATTGATAAGAAACACAAGATTCAAGACTGGAGTGTTTATTTAATGTGACAAATCTCAATATTGCACGTGAATGTGATGAACGGGAAATAAATATAGAGGTACCATGCATTGAATACTCGGTACAAGGTATTTGGATAGTGTCCACAATGTAGAAGACATCGTGTGTTACACCTGATGACGATTTGACGATAGTGCAAAGTCTACGCATCTAAAATAGTGAGCAACATGATGATGTATTTGACTATGACATAAACTAGATGAATCTAACGGATAAATAGGTAAACACGAAATGGAAAAAACAGTAAAGTGTCTGAAAGTATAAATGAAATGTGCTGAATATGAAAGAAATATGACATAACATGGATAGAATATTTGATAAAAGGAAAGACGTTTGATCTAGAATCTCTGATTAGGAAGACATCGTATGCTACAGCTGACGACAATTGGACTAAACTGGAAAGAAGGGATGTGATGTAAAAATATAGTGCAACGTGATATAGTGTATTGATTATGATACAAACTAGATGAATGTAGTACCTATATTATTATCATATTTTTCAAAATGACATTATTTAAAAAAGTGGTCAGTTTTGATCAAAAGGGACCAATTTACGCAAATTTATAAAGACAATGACCTCGAGGAAGATTGGATGAAATCAGTGAAAATCCCATTGAAAACTTTAAACAATAACAAGTGCAAAAATTAATGTAACGTGTATCTTACATGCAGGGTAATAAACGATAAGTATCGAGTTGCATGAACATACCAAACAATTCAGGTCAATTTGTGCAGTGTTACAGTACAAACTGCAGTGAGAGGATGGACTTGTACCATAGATTACTAAAGTGCACAAACAACCTCGTGAATATTTTACTTTTAGAGGAATAAGGCCATTCTCTGCCCTCCCTGTAACATAACGTCATTGTAGTACATGTTCGTATTATTTTTACGACTTTCAAGTTATAAAAGCACTTTGACGTATGATCACAGTCACGTGGCTTTATTTATACCAAACGTACAATTTTATGATAAATGCATTTTAGATTTTATACGTTTAAAACAATGTATTATACAATTATGTAATAGGTATAAGGGTGAGGATGCTAGTGAAATTACAGGAAAATGGGACTTGTCAACTTATGTCTCACGGTTATGGGCGCATTGGTAGTGCCCCCAGATCTTTGTGACTAGCTCTCAGTGGCACGGCAACTACTATGGTCAGGCGTGTAGCTTCGTTACTTGATATCATAAAAATAAAAATATCTTTGGAGTGCATCCCAGTAATTGAACACAATGTATATTTTTCTAAATATTTTGGAGATAAGTTTAATAGTGCTTCGAAAAAAATATTTTTATTCACTGCTGTCTATGTAGTTTTCAAGTCTACACAGTACCTACAACGATGAGTCAACGATTGATGTCCTTCACATTAACAATGGTTATAGTGTCGTGAAACGAATGATAATGTTAACAATTTTAATTAACACAATACAATAGGTGATAGCGTAAAGCTAATACACAACGCGACGTTCATAACAATACAAAAATTCGTCTTGTGAATTTCAATGATGACTGTACCTACGCAAAGGGAGTCTACTCTCGTTCTCCGTTCGACTTCCGTCCGAAACAAAGTAACCTATCACAAACTCGGATTTCTTTTTTCCGAAATAACGTTTGTTCGAATTTTCAGTACACCGAAAACCGAATTTTAACGAAACCGTTGTTTTTTCAGGATATCTTGGATGTTGGTGGAGTTGGAGGAGGTTGGCGGCTACCATTAAAGCTCCAACTAATTTCCGTGCCATTTCATCACTCATAATGTTTCATCCATACACTTCACAAATCTGTCGATAATTTCAATCGCTTTCACACCTTTGACACTAAGAAAACGAATAGCAGCGCGTATTTCACAGTTGGCGGGATTCTCAATTGGCGGAGGCATTTTTAAATACACATAAACAAAGAAAAACACGATCGAATGTTGCCGTGATTGCGTATGCGGCTTGCCAGCTTACAGATGTAAGTACACTATGCAGACCGCCGACCGCAGCAATGCACCGGCCGAATTTGAAAACGGTACTTACTTTAAAAACACGCCTGATAGTTACGTTATTTTCCTTTATTTTATATATATTAATAATATATATAATAACAAGAGCTATCTTGTCATTCTCGGGAATCAATATTCATATACAAAAAGCGTTTTCAATAAAATGTCGGACACAGAGGGCCAAACATGCGTTTTGCAACAAAAAACGTCTAAGCACGACAACCTAAGTATGCTCTAAAAAGTAAAGAGTTATATATCGCATTTTGAAATCGATACTGTTAAATTTAAAAAAGAGTTTCGTTAAGTGACTAAAGTGTTTGCAAAGATATATTTTATATAAATAAAAACTCGTGTCCTTTATTGCCGAAGGTCATGTCCCTGAAATATATCGGGACAGCATGTACAAGCTATTTCCACCGTTTGTTCGGTTTTCGGCTTCTTTGGCAGTTGAAACAAGAAGACCAATGAGGACAGTTAATTCAAGTCGCACCATCAACGAGGTGTTCTTTCGCCTTCCACTTTGTCCTTGCAGCTGACTTGTCGAGATGGTAGGTTTTTAGGAAATTAATCCTTGTAAATGACCCTTTCGATGGGCACCATAAAAATATAGAACCTTTTATAAAATTCGGTCGGTTCAATTCCCAAACGACGCAAGAAACTTTTTGAAAGTTTTTGAACGATATATTATATACTTTTTAATATCCCATCTACAATATTTAAAGCACTTTTCCACTGTGTCCCATATTCGTAGGATTTTCTATATATAGGGTTAATATGTATATAGTGGATAAACAAAATTGCCATAAGCACGTTGGTTTGTCTTTCATTGATCGAAAAAAGCAACAAAGTAGGATATCCTAACAACACCTATCGGAATGAATCAGCATTTCTATTCATAAAATGATTACTATGTCAGATCAGGTTTGTAATAATATAGTAAATAACAACGAAAATCTTTAAAACTGTATTTATCACAACAATCAAACAAACAATTTTTAAGAAGGCACGTATAACGAAAGCTTGTTTAAAACAACATAAAATGCTATGAACTCGTTAAACTTTTACAACAAATTAATTGCACAGTTAAAAGTTAACGTTAACCGTATACAGTATACCGTTACTCATACGTAACAGAAACCAGATTCATTTGAAACACAAAATTGAATAACGACTACTGTATTGAAATTTAACGACTGTGGTTAAAGTTCCTGTTAATGTCGGTGTCAACCAATATACACCCTGCAAAGCACGGGTGTCTACTGTCATTGAATATAACACAGAATTTAAAGGTCTCTACTGTCATTGAATATAACACAGAATTTAAAGAAAGAAGTCATAGCTTTAAATTTCACATTGTGCAACATGATGCAATGTATTGGCTATGACAGAAACTAAATAAATCTAACAGATAAGCAGGTAAACAGGTAATAGGAGAAGGCAGTAAATTGTTTGAAAGTATAGATGAGGCGATGCATTGAATGGGAAAGAAATATAGAGATACTATGAATATAATATTTGATAAAAGAAAAGGTGTCTCGTTACAGTTTCTGATTAGTAAAACATCGCGTGCTACAGCTGATGACGATTAGATGACAGCACAATGTGTAAGTATTTGAATTATTGTGCAACGTGATACAGTGTATTAGCTATGACAGAAACTAAATGAATATAACAAATAACCAGGTGAACGTGTAATGAAAGAAGACTATAAACTATTTGAATGTACAGATGAAATGCGGTGAGTGGGAAAGAAATATAGAGAAACCATGAAGAGAATATTTCAGAAAAGGTGTTTACCAAAAAGA